ATACTCACATCATCTAAATGGAAAGCTAGCAAATGCACAGTTGTTAGTATCGTTATGATACGCGATATGTATTGTACGATACAGAGGCAAAACAATACAAATCGTATATATGTATAGTTTTTGCGTTGTATCATTCGATACACGATACGTTTTTACGATAGGCGCAAAACCTGTTTAATTTTTTTTTTTTTTTGATAGCCTGATTCGCTGATTTGCACCAAATCATTGACAGCAAAAACAGAGATGAAGACATCCAAGTTCACAAATTCGAGAATAGAGAAAATGCCAAAGAAAAGGCAAGAGATGAGACAAGAATTACCAATCTACCAAACCCACAGACCAACCAAACACCCAATCAAAAGCAAATCAAATAAATTTTTAAAATTAGAAAAAATAGCAACACTAACCGGATGAAACCCTAGGTTGATTTTTAACACTAACTCCTGTCTCACGATCTCTGTCTTCATCGCTATGAACTACGACCACGAGGTACCAGTCACTAGGTATGTTCTTCTTCTTCTCTCTCTTTCTCCGNGAGAAGCGAATAGTATAATAAATAAATAAATATTTTAGTTTAATACTTTGATTACTCCTAAATATTTAAGTTTTAATTTTACAAATATAAAATATTTAAATGCAACCAAAATAATAAATATGTACATATTTTAAATAGACAAGATATTAAATATTGAACATTTTTGCATTCTAAAAAATAATCAATTGATATACTCACATCATCTAAATGGAAAGCTAGCAAATGCACAGTTGTTAGTATCGTTACGATACGCGATATGTATTGTACGATACAGAGGCAAAACGATACAAATCGTATATATGTATAGTTTTTGCGTTGTATCATTCGATACACGATACTTTTTTACGATACGAATGATACGCGCAAAACCTGTTTAATTTTTTTTTTTTTTTGATAGCCTGATTTGCTGATTTGCACCAAATCATTGACAGCAAAAACAGAGATGAAGACATCCAAGTTCACNTTTTTTTTTTTTTTTGATAGCCTGATTCGCTGATTTGCACCAAATCATTGACAGCAAAAACAGAGATGAAGACATCCAAGTTCACAAATTCGAGAATAGAGAAAATGCCAAAGAAAAGGCAAGAGATGAGACAAGAATTACCAATCTACCAAACCCACAGACCAACCAAACACCCAATCAAAAGCAAATCAAATAAATTTTTGAAATTAGAAAAAATAGCAACACTAACCGGATGAAATCCTAGGTTGATTTTTAACACTAACTCCTGTCTCACGATCTCTGTCTTCATCGCTATGAACTGCGACCACGAGGTACCAGTCACTAGGTATGTTCTTCTTCTTCTCTCTCTTTCTCCGGCACTGGCATCGCCATCGCCTTTGAGGTCGCCTCTCGCCTCTTCTCTTTTCTCTCTTCTCTTTGTCTGTGTGTGCGATCGTGGGTCACGAGGTGCAAATTTTTTTTTGTTATAAGTATAAAAATTATATTTAATAATACCCCATTAAAAAATTACATTTAATACCCCATTATATTATAATTTTTACTATTAAGTATGTATAAGTACCATTAATTTAATTTGATACCCTTTATTATTTTTTAAATATTAGTAAATTATATTGGTGACTTGAATAGTAGGTGAAATATTAATGAAATGTTATGTTTTTATGAGTCTATAATTTTTTTTCAAAAACATATATATTTTATTATTAATTATTTAAAATTGCGCAGTATCTTACGATACACGATACGATACGATACACTATTTTTAAAAAACGATACACCTTCCGATACACGATTTGATAACTATGAGCAAATGTGAGTTCGACTCCTAGCGTGATTGATTAATATCACCACTAAATAAAGTACTCACAAATTGATTAATCAAATAGAACATATAGTAAATTGATTAATCAACTTGATTAACCAAACAAATTGATTAACAAGAGCATTCACCACAACACAGTGCATTTAACATCATCTAATTATAACAAGACAGATTACTATATGATATTGTCATCTGATCAATCAATTTATTTTATACATATACATATATGATATCATCTCTCCTAGGGTTTAGTTGATGTTGAGGAGGGGGAGGGGGAGGAGGAGGTTGGGGAGGGAGAGGAGGGAGAGTAGGGGGAGAAAATAAAAAAATTGCAGTCAAACGTTTGCTTTTTCCGCCGGGGTCGCTTCTTTACTTCCTCACCTAGTCGTTTTACTAAACCTTGCTTTGCCTTGATTGTTCAAGACGACCAAAGCTCGCTTCGCTTCTTGCTTCTCGCTTCTCGCCTAGGCTTGTTTTTCACAACACTGTCAACAAGAATAGACATAACGTTTATTTATCATAAAGTACTAATTTTTTTTTTATGAATAATGTCATTATCACTATATTTGTGATAAATTCTATAATTATTTATATAAAACAATTATTTGTAGTGTGTCCCTAACGTGTTGTATCCTATTTTTTTGAGAAATATCGTGTTTGTATGTCCATGTCGTATAGTATCCGTGTCTGTGTCAATGCTTTTTAGAGGAGGAGGCAGCACATAGAATGCCATGCTGAAGAAAGGAAAAGGGGGGGGGGGGATTGGTCAATTTCAAAGAGAAGATTATCTAAGGAGAATTTGGGTGGCATCGACAATTCTAAAGGAGGCAGAAGAGATAGGGAGAAATCAAGATTGTAGATGAGCCCACAAATGAGACTTTAATGGCCGCTACATATGTTTGCTTGGGAGGTAGTGGGTTAGGTCCAAGTGGATTCTAGAGCCTAATGACAGCTAGACCATGTAACTGACGTAGTATTCGGTCTGTCCAACATTGAATGTACATTAGATGCAGGCTCAATATTGGTGAGATCCATGTTCTAATGGCCATTGTCGCTGATGACACATATCGTTGTTAGATGAGTGCACCTTGGTCCTCCTTGGGAAAATCATGAGGGGAATGGAGTGTGTAGCCTGCCAATTCCATTGTGCTACCTCCACTTTGACACAAACGCAGGTCTTCCCTTAGCTGGCTGACCAAAACCCTGAAGATCATCCACCTAGGGTGTGATTGTGCTGCTAACTAACATTGCACTTCACTCCCAGTCCATTGTAAAGATGGCATCTTGCCTATGCGGTAACTGTCACATATCCCTGTGCATGTTGACAAAGGGGGTGGAAGGTCAAACCTCTCTTGGTCGCTTAATGTTAGTCCAGAAAAGCTGATGTGTCGGATCAAAATGACTCATCAACAGATTATATTCAACTAGAAATCTGCCAGTGACAAGGACTTTGGGAGATAATTTTGACGGTGAATTTGAAGAATGTCTGGTATGCTAACAGGGGTTGGTTAGACATAGAAATGACTTGTTTTGTTTGCCTCATTTTATATCCTTTCTTTCAGCATCGGTAAGAATTTCTTTTTCCACTACTGATGATCAACTTGCTGGCTACAGGTTTCCGATGGAGACCACATGGACCGATTAATTTCTCTGCTGAACATGGCTCTTCCTCTTTTCATGGTGTAGAGCCAAGACTTCACTTGCAATTTTTTTTTCTCCCAATTTATTGGCTTATGAAACTATCTACTAACCTTAGCCTTTGTTGTGTTAGAGGGGTGCATCAAGCAGCAAGTTCTTCAACTATTTGATCAAACAGATCATACCTGTTTTTGATGAGGTAATGAGGTTTATTAGTCCTGCTGTACTTGCTGCTGCTGGCATTTTGACATCCTTGACATTTTTTGGTTATGCATATTTAATCATATCTTAAACTAGTTGATATATACGTGCGTTGCATGTGAATTATGTTGAGTTATATTTTTATTGAGTTTTTACAAGTTAAATCAATATAACATTCTTAGGTGTAAGATATCTCTCTTATTAAAACTGTGATATTATCCGATTAATAACATGCTAAGTTGTGCAAATTAAATTAACCCACTGTGTCAAGTCCTCTGTTGTTCTGAAGAAAAGGAGTTGACTTGGGAAGTGAAATTCCTCCCAAAAATTCAATCTGTTTAATGGTTCATTACATAATCCAAGTCTAACTTTAGTTTCTATAATTGAAGAAATACAATTGCACATGGATTACATGTATGAAAACATGCTTCAGTTCTTTTTCTACACTAACATGCTTGAATTTAGAATCAAGTAAGATAGGCATCAAACTTTAACACACAGTACAATCCGATTTCGACCTCTTGTGGAACAGGAGATGTATAGTATTCCACAGAACCATGTTTAGAGGGCAAGATCTTCCATTACTATGAAAAAACAACCACCAAAAGAGAAAGGTAGCAAAATCTATTAATCAAAGTCTGGAAAAACCTTTCATGGCATTGCCTATTTAAATCAGAATTATACTTAGAGGTACTTAATAAATTGCCCGCACTTTGGGCATCTCCTTTCGCAATTGCCAGCAGATCCAAACATTTCTTTCAAACTATACATTTGACAAAAAAATTTCATATTCAATCAATTAATTCAAACTTAGATGATTTGAAAATGAATTGAAATTACAAAATTGGTTTTACCTATGTACATAAGAAGTGGTGCTGGGTTCAAAGCAAATCTCCAAACAAATTTGTTGGACGTAAGACCGAATTGAAAACAGAGAAACTTAGTTTGTGTTGGTAAAAAAAAAAAGCCTCTAATAATGCTAAGGATCTGTAATATACCTCAACTTTGACAAACTTGTTGAAGTAGTAGCTGATTCTATGCTTCCCAAGCAAATCCGGTGAATGACACACACGCAGACAAAGAGAGAGAGGATTAATATTTCAATAGATGGACTTGAACAAAGTTCAATTGGTAATTTAATCCTTATATTCTTACAAGGGATGTAGTGTTGTATCAAGTGATAAGGGAAAATTTTCGTTTTAAATTTTAGCACATAAACAAGACATCATTGAAAACTACATTCTAAAGTCAAAACATGTACTACCATTTATTCAAGTAAATATGTTGGAATTTACTTGGAATTTGGACAAGGTTTTGATCATTTCACCTCACAAATCGGATTAGCAATAAGGTGCACTAGAAAATGAACATATGGAGCAACATATACAAGAAAGCAACCACATAAAACATAATGGAAAGTGAAATCCCAGAAAGAAGCACTCAGTTTTTGCTCTTTGTGAATCCTTGATAGTGACAAATGCAATTAATTTGAGACAACTCATATCACTGAGTAACCATCAGATACTAACTTCTGCATCTAAACATATTCAATATCACCAAAAAAAGAACTACTTGATGTATTGCTCATACAATACCCTTAAGGTAACATGGGTGACTTTGACGTTCTCAACTACAAGGAAAGGCATGAGTTATATTAACATTTTGGGGCCATGGTTTCATCAGTCACACACAATTTACGATATCTACAACCAAAGGAAAGATTATAATCATAAATACATATGAAAACCATGTTCATACTTCATCCTAACATAATGTCTAGTTTTCAAAAAATCACTTCAATAAAAGAATATTTTTTTCTTCATTATAACAACCATCACTACCAGGATTTGTCAAAATTAATATTAATAAAAGAAAAGTGTCTGAAACCCACAAGCATAAACTCAAAAAAATTGTGTAGGCATAATGTAGGGTTTTTTTTTTTTTGGGGGATGCAGAACACTTGAGCTTTATCAAACTAACAAGATATGATAAATGCCATGTTAATTTCATTTTATTGTCCCTATTCCATGTAAATGTCATTTGTTGTCCCTTCAATTGCTGGTTTAGTTCACTACCAAAAAAAACCAAACAACAAATCTTGTCTAGTTAGAAAGGTTTTGTGGCCACGTTTATGGGGATTTTTCTCCAGAAGCATAGACTCTATATGAAAACAAAGTTTTGACCTGTGGGTATTGGCAAAGAATTTCTATAAGTAGTAAACTAATTGCATTCAGGCAACCATGATGCTTGACTATAATCGAGATTTCCTTTCCATCATGCTCAAAAATATATCCAATCCAGCCATTGTAGGCAATAGCTTTAGAATTAAAATTCCATATAAGTTGGCTGCTAATAATGGTCCATTAGAAGTGAGGCCACTATGTTCGAAACACAGAGTACAAACATCTTGTGGGTTTCTCATGCTTTGCTTCCCTTCGAAATACATGAGTATGTACTGCCCATTAAGTTAAATGAGATACACATAAGTGAGAGATTGCCTTCACTACAATAGCATGGATCTCAATGATGGGAGGTCTTTCTGAATTATGTAGTTTGCAACATCTGAATAATTATAATATCTAGATTAAAAAAAAAAGGAGGTAATCTTGCAAGGCCAGTAACCAGCAACAGCATTCATCCTATACTAAAACTTACATGGCCTAACTGATAGATCCCACTAAATAATAATATGAGATTATTCTGATAATTCGTAGCAATTAAAACCACTTGAATATAATACCCGTAAGAATATAGACCTAACTTATTTTCTTAGTACAAAAAAACATTTTCTTGAAATCATGGAACATGAAATAATCAAGATTTCTAGATTGAAATTAAATTGGATTCAAGAACTCTATCCTAGAATTAGTGAGCAATAAAAAGGCCATTAGGTAATAAAATTAAGAGGCCTTCCGAAATGCCGTTTGCTGGCATTGTATGAAGAACGGCATGTACCCATTCCAAGAAGAAAATTAATGAAACCGTTGGGAAATGGAAAAGCTATTGAAAATTGAACCCAATTTTTTTGAGTCATGAAACAACTAGATACCATAACTTCATTTCTGATTACATAAAAGCTAAAGCCTTGAGATATGTGGTGTAGAATATTTTCCTTCCTCTAGCTAACTTGCCACTGCTGCAACTTTGGTAATCAAAGTTTTTCCAGTATTTGTGGGTGCAGAAACCACATGTGACGAACCTCTCAAAAAGGTCTTGAATAGCCAATCTCTACACAATACAGATTAAAATCATCGATGCAAAAGAGATAATAGAATTGAGCTTATCGACATTATTGACGTAGATAATTTCTTGGCTGAACTATCAGACCTTTCTAAAAGACATAGCTATACGAGTAAAGCATCAAAGCAGATGAGATTCCAAACCTAGTAATTTTAGCTGTAAGATAATCATGAAAATCACACTATCAAATTCTTCTCTTCTCAAACTTGTTCTGATCATCGAGAATATGAACCTAGGGCTTGGGCTTTGTCTTGTGTTTCGAGATTGCCAGAATATATGTGAGATAACAGGATACAAAATGCTAGCAGCCCAACGGCCAAGAGTTTGAAACGTACATGATCAAAAAAACAAAAAAACGTCTTTGACCTTCTGTGTATCAAGTATAATATGGAAACATAAAAATACTTCAACTTCTTGTAACTGATGCATTCAGTGAACATTAAATATTTACTTAAAAATTTATTAAGGCCTTAAACTTGAAATAACTTAATGTAGCTATTACAACAGGACAAAACTAACATTAGAGACAAAACTAACATTAGAGTATTAACCAAAGGTATCATGGATAATCAAAAGTTTTTCTAATATCTTGACATTTTAAAGTAGTATAGATTAAAGACAATCAATCATTCTATTTACAAGAGACTGCAGGGGTGCCATTTCATCAAGATTTAGGGATACCTGCTATCCCCTATCAACTGCAAGCGACTCAGATATTTCTGTGGTTCTTCATTGGGCATTGTTGATAGTGCACAATTTTTCATCACTTAATATTCATTTGAGAAAAGGGTGTGAATATTAAGGCAGATGAGTTGCCTAATCTTATTTTAGACAAGTTTAATTAAATAGTTTATCCAGACACATTTATCATCTTGAATCTCCTAGGCTAGTTGATTCACTACCAACAAAGGAAATTTTCAGCACTTTATTTTGAATTGTATCAGACAACTCCTCACTACTCTTAACACCAGACATTGTTTCTGTCCTGCCTCCGGTCTTTCTTCGTGTGCAACATTTTTTACATTTTTTTTTGAGTTACAATGTAGATAGGCATATGGAAGCTCATTCTTTAAGCCTGGTCCATAGTCACAGTTGATGGGCATGCATTGTTGGTTCACCGATCGCATATTGGAACTCAACCACATAATAAATCTGCCACCTATTCTAACTTCGGTTGTTATTACTGAGGGAACCAATTTGTGCAGGATTGCAGAGACCTTAAGTAGCTTATTGAGGTGTTATTATGAAATTTTAACTTGCTAATAGCAGCTTCTCGATTTTAAAACAACTAGGTCAATACATTGCAAATTTAACAAAAAAGTCATCTCAATAGTAATAGATTTTACTTATTTGGAAACATCTGTTTTAGTTTTCATGCTATGGGACCTGTGATTTCAATCTAATCCAAACTGCAATAGTCACATTCTGAATTGGTAGCATGTAGATGGGTTAGACATCAGTTGGAAGTCAGGTTGGAAGTGACTTTCTTGTGTAGTTGGACTTTATTTGTGTACGTCTGGCATTCAGGGATGTTTTTCACAGTCATATTTTGTAGTTGTTATTAAATGTGTCATATGACTTATTTCAAAAATCATATGTTCGCTATGACCTGTATCTGGAGATTAGTTTCCTAGTTATTACTAATTTTGTTATGTGCTATGCTTGTCAAATTTTCTCTGTTATTTGATTTTCCTAATTTAATATACTGCTTATTTTGTGCTTGATTGGTTTTTGTGGCATTCTTAGTTCAGTGTTCTGCTTCTTTTTTCCTGATGTAGTGTGTGGTCCATATTAATTTGGAGTTGTGTGATGTGGTTTTATATGCTTACCCTGTCAGCTTCCTGAAGATAGAAAACTCGACTTGCTCAAGAATCTTGCAGAATGTTCACATTATGTGGCACCGCAAGACTCCCGGCAGCTTCTTCCATCTGTTGTTCAACTTCTGAAGGTGCTTACTTATAGACATTGCCAGTATTGTATAGGGTATTTCAAATTTAGACAAAAATGATACTTTGCTATGTGTTTTCCGTGTGGCTCAGTTATATTTATTGTGATTGGTGGTTACATATTCCATCCACTTTCACGTGCAGATCTTTTTGTGCTTCATTTAAGCTGTTGGAGCCATGGCGGCACATTGTTTTATTCCTATGCTTTTTTATGCTACCTGCTCTTTTAGAGTTTGGAAACATTTGTATGAATTATTGTTTACATTTGTTCTTCTTTTTCTTTTTCCTGTCAGAAGCACATGATTCGGAGAAAGCTTGAAGACATTAAGTTCACTAATGTTGAATGTTTGTTGTATACCTTCCACCATTTAGCACATAAGGTAAACACTTTATTATTTTCCAGTTGGCCCAATTGTCATGCTAGAATTTCTGATTCATCATTTCTTTTCGATTGTTATAGACTCCTAATGCCACAAATAGTCTGTGTGGCTACAAGATTGTCACAGGCCAACCATCTGATAGGCTTGGTGAAGATTTTTCAGAGTACTATAAAGACTTCACTGAGAGGTGATGCATAACATCTAATTTTCCTTTCTAGCGTTGGGATATTGAATATAAATTTTCATGTCTCTGAAACAATGCAAGTCATTCACACGCCACTCTTCCAGAAAAGAAATATTTTATTGCGGAATGTGTTCTTTGTTTTGTTCTTCTTAGTTATTAGAGATTGCCATTTAGTTCTGTTCTCCTTGTTATAAAAGACAGCAAGAAAGATTGCATTAGATTTGTTACGTCTTAATGAAAGGTCCGTTATTCCTGTCCTCGGAGTTTTTACTCCCTGTCAAGGATTAGAAGATACCATTTAAACCTTTCTGGCTTTTCAAATCAGCTTAGGGGAATAGCAAAACCTAGAGAGGAAGAGATATGTCAACCTTTGGGTCAGCAATGAACTTTATGATGGAATTCTTGTTGCACATATTATGAATGAAAGCTAAGGGGTAATTGAAGAAATGAAATGATGCCACATTAAAAGATCAAATCGAGGGTATGTTGAAACTACACAGATACAAGTTCAGATTAAATTTAACAAATTGGCATGCATCATTAAAAACAGTAATTATGTATAATTTCCAGAGTCGAATTTTAAAAGAACTTACTCAGATTTGACATAATTATTACTTGTTTGAATTGAATGGTAATATCATAATTCTGTCCTAGATCTTGCTTGTGACATGAGCATCATAGTGGCTGCCATTTCCCCCTTTCTTGAAGATGTAATATTTAATTTTGTGGTTAATGTTTCTGCAGATTGGGTATTGTAGAGGATTTAGCTAGAGCTATGATCAAGAAGTTGACGCAAGGGATGGCAGAGCACAACAGACTGATGACTGCTGCTAAAACAGATGAGGAAAAGAACATTATAGTGGGTTTTTTCTCCCTGCTCTGTTTATTCCACATCTAAAATTTCCTTCTGGACTTTGCATGGATTATTGCCTAGTGATATTTTGTGCGCATCTCTGATTATGGGTATCTACAATTTGCAGAAGACACAGAAGCAGAACACTACGAGTGAGCTTCGGGCCTGCAACAACATACTGGCAATGACCCAGGTAAAGGGTTTTCCCATGCTTCCCTCAATACACGTTTAGGCATGCTGGGAAATTTTATCTAACACGTCTACAATTCAGCCATTGCATTCAAAATCACCTTCTTTTATTGGAGACAAGAAAATTAACTTGTCGTGGAAAGAAGCAACAAAATTTTCAGTCCCGTCTACTGGTGCTGTTTCAGGGTATGAGACAAAACATCTGATCTTCATTATTATTATGATTCTCTACCATTCTCAGCATCATATTATTGTTGCTAAAATCTTGAGTGCAGTCAGAAACGTGCTGCCGCTGCTAATGGTTCAGGCACTTCCGCTGCCAAAAAGGGTCGAGAAGCAGGTGGTGTACAAAACCAACTTGTACACAAGGCATTGGATGGTTTACATAGCAGTGGGAGGACCGGTGGAAGAGGCAGGGGTTGGCGGGGACGTGGAAGGGGACGGGGCTATCGTTAGCACAGTCTTCTTCTCATTAAGGTGTATTAGTACGGGAAAGTGTACGAGTGTGATTGTTTTATTCATGTTGACTTCTTGTAGGGCATTGGTTGAGTTAATTTGTAGGTTAACATAATTTGGAATTAGATTTGGCAATTTTAGTTCACGTGACCAGATCTAATGGACAAAATCTAGTCCGCGTTAGCCATTTGATGCATCTAGTCTTAACGGATTACGAGTATGCATGCAGTTCTTCGGATTTTTTGTTTTGTAATTGAGCAAAGATAAAAGTAAAATGTCAGAAAATATCTACTAGTTCGATTGTGGATGCTACATAGCGTTATATGCTTAGTTGTATCAGCTCCATCTTATGTAGATAAGTGGTGTATCCTATGTTTTCCCATTGTTTGGTATATGATGGAAAAGTGGAAGGATAGAAAAGTTTAAAGGATAGATAAAATATTATGTTTGGTAAGGAAGTAAAATGAGAAGCATGGAAGGATTGGTCTTCCTTTTGATTCACCAAAATGTATCTCTTTAAAATTAAGAGGAAAAATAAAAAGAAAGTTAATGAAGTGTGTGTTGAAATATATGTTATTTAATTTTATATTTCTTAATAAATAATTGAGGGGATGTTGCTTACAATTTAATGTACCCGAAGAAGAATGTAGATAGGATTTTACAAACCAGAAAGAATATATGTAGACAAACTTTTGATGAGATTTCAATCAATACGTTTTTTTTAAATTTACCAAAGTAACGAAATACGACAATTCAAAAAATTATTTATTAAAATATGAGAGTTTTAAACTTATTTACTAAATTATTATACTTTTTAAAAGCATGGTTATTATTAAAAAAAGGATAAAGTTGTGCAGCATAAATTGTTGTCTAAATCTTGTATTTCAAGTATTGTGTTAAAATCTCATATTTGGTGGAGTTGGTGGACTATACTAACCCAAGCATCTGCATTGATTTGAAATATAAAATTTGGATAAATATTTATGCAACATGGCATCGCTTCGTGATTAGTGATCACGCTTTAAATGTCAGGGGATATGAAGAAAAGCAAGATATCAAACACACATTCAAAGGGTAACCATTCAAATAAAAAACGTGATTGAGCAAAACACGCCTTCTGCCTTCTGTGTGGATTCCCCATGACGTGGACGCACTAGTTTAAGATTTGGAGTTCACACTTGATATTGAGGGTGAGGTGAATTTCTTGTGCTCAGTTTTTGAGAGAAAACTAACATAGTGTACCTTTTTCTTGCAAAACGAATAAAATGCTACAAATTGGGGATGGTCCAAACGGAGATATTTCGATGTTTAAGTCAATAAGAGCTCTGAGAATAAGCAGACAAATTTACGGGAAAAGAAATGCACAGGTTAGACTTAATCCTTACCTGGTATTTATAGTGGTTTTTGCCATCTTCTCATGTTTTCATCATTTGCCGTACAAGGTGACACACTTATTTTGTAGTCAAATATTCCTTAATTCGTGCAAGGCTCATTGAGATTTTTATATATGTGTGGAGAATCATTTATTGATGCTTGGCAACTATTTCTCATCAAGTAGAATCAATTTAGTCTGACGAATCACTAATTAGGCAGAGTTTTACTTGCATGTACAAGATAATTAAAATCTTGATTAGTAGATTCTAGATAAACGAAACTAACTTGTGATCATCTTCTACCCTTGTATATATTATGTTTGAATGATGCCACTTAAATTTAATTAGTTGGTATACACGTGCGTTACATGTGAAATATTTTGAGTTTCAATTATCGTATCTTATTATTCTCTAGTTTCTAAAATGACATCAAGCATAGGTGCAAGGAATGGATGTTATTAAATGGAAAACGTCAAATGTTGCCAAAAGGATATTATCAATGGCATCGACCAAATAGTAGGTAAAAGAAATGGGTGACAATCTCATCCCAACAATCACATCAACATATTTTATCTTTATTACAAGTTATGCAAACCAACAAGAAAATCTAATGTTGTGTAATATTATATAAAGAGTAATACTATTTGGCCCTAAAAATTTGATTTAATTTGTTGACATAATGATGTGGTTTCACTACAACCATTGGATCAACACCAAGTTCTAATATTTGATGAGCCCTACAGTTAATCCAAAAGTCACGGTGAATTAGATCAACAAATTAGGTCAGTAAATTAAGCCCCAATACATTCCTCTTATATAAAGGCAAAAGATATTTCAAATCAAACATTGAATAGGAAATTTGGATCAACTGGCATAGCTAACTATCTACTTGTCAAAAGAGCAAAAACAGAAAAAGAGAAGAATTGGTGTCTAAAACTATCAAGATTCATAGCATTCTTACTGTGCCATGGTCATAAAACAAATTCAAAGGAAAAGTACATACCAGTGCCTTAAAACTGTCAAGTATAAGTTTCATTACCTTAGTATGGTTACAATTTTTGTTTCCTTGGTATCAACAGAACACTACATCTGAGAGCGTATATTAAATTCATAACAAAAATAACTGGTCAGATGCAAGACATGCATGTATCTCTTTAACACATCAATCATGCAACTGTAATATCTGATCTTAAAAATTCAGAAAAATTGTATCCACCTTTAAATGGAAGGTAAGAGACTTTGATGATCACTTCTACTAAAAAATAATTGAGCAAAATCAACTATTATTTGCGTGGTCATCCGATCATGTTTTACATGGTATTTAAAATTATTTATAAGCATTGAAAAAGTGAAAATGATTCATTACCCTCAGAAACTTATTGCCTTATCCATATTGTTAAACTTCACTTGACTGAAGATACATCGAACGAATAGCACGATTAACAGATCAACGTAATAACAGATGTGAGGACAACATTGCAAGTGATATTCCAAAGTTCATTGTTTGGTAGTTTTGGCACATGTTAGTTAGAAGGTTAAAAAGGCAAAACAGAGAATGCCGCTTGATGGATTTGCATTGAACAACACGAAAACAACTTCATAACACGGCTCGGAATTGGAAAATCTTTAATTGGTTTTTGACCTTTCTCCAAGAATAATCATTTGGTTGAATATCAGCAAGCTTTATGCTTATAGCCAACACTCCAATCACCACTGGCTTCACCTTTGATTTCCTAATCAAAATAAAAAACGAGATGAATGTCCATGATTGCAAGATCATATTAATGGTGATGATGTTGTGGTGCAGTTTGAACATAAAATATTAAATCGTACGAATATTCAATGTATCGACATCTGGTAATATGGATGTATTCAGAAGATGTCACGTGGCAGAATTTGAAGAAATGTGGGAGATGATTAACCACATCTATGTTTGAAAAGAGATATAACAAACTAAAGGTTATTCTATAAATAACCATCAATGGAAGCAAAATCGTCAAAGACCTTGACTATAAAATTGCATGTAGTAGAGAAGATGAATGATATACTCAAACCCGCACAAGACCCTACGATTTGGGTTTTTTTAGGAGTAGTTTTAGAATTAATTTTAGAAAGTGGTTACTGCTGTCGTCAAGATTGTTATTCAATTTTTTCTGTAACCGAAGTCCCTTCGATTGAATTAATACAAGAATTAATTTTAGGAAGCAGTTACTGCTGTCATCAAAATTGTTATTCAATATTTTATGTAACCAAAGTCCCATCAATTGAATTAATAAAAGAATTCATCCAAGGAAGTTATAAAACATGACATTTGAACCCTTCACAAATAATCGCTTAAAAGTTGCCTATCGATTGGAATCTTTTCGTCGATCTCAGCGAAATATGGAGTAACGATCTTTTGGCACACCCGGTGGGATGACATTATTAATTTGGCTCAAAAAAATGGTTAGAAAATAAAAAATAAGATGAGATTGTGTTTGACATCAATGAAACTGTGGAAATGACGCCAAACAGTGGCAATCATGAAGCAAGTTCAAGTACCAACCCAGTGGAATCTACAAATCTAGGAAATGGCCAAGATAGTTTGCAGATGCAAGAGGAAGGAGCCAAATAGTGGCAATTGGGCTAAAATATTGGGAATTAGTCCAAAAACCAAGAACCAGAATAAATGGGCACAAAAGAAGATGACCAAGTAAATTGAATATCAAATGAAAGTTTTACACCAAAAGGCCTTTCAAGGAGTCAATGGGATACTTGATGGAGCCTCTAAGCATGGATGCCACAAAAGATTAGGAATAAGCCATCTATTGTTTGAATAAGAGGATCGAACAATTTTAAGTGTAATTCCTCTGTAATAGGAATGTTTTGTTTGGTTTTGTATTTGTTAAGTCATGAAATGAAAATTTTCATTTATTTTCATTCATTAGTTGCAATCACTATTTGATGGTTTCAAAGATAATACCATGTAATGAATGAGATAATAACAAAGGTGGTGGGCCATAGATGAAAAGATTTTTTTTTTTTTTTTGTTTTAATCAAAAGACCAAGTAGACAAGCTACACAAATAAAAAAAGAGAGAGCTATCAAAGACCACATAGCTTCCTAGGATAATAAGACAAAGAGAAGTATGCCATTCATTTGACAGTAGTCTCAATGGCTCTTGGGCATGTCTCAAACTTTTTGTTGCAGCTAACAGTTTGCCACCACCATCTTGGTAGCTGTTTAGTAGTTCCTTGGTTCCTTGTAGCAAGTGTTTACCTCCATACCTGTCAATGGAAGTCCTATTAGATGAACGAAGTCCAATATTATTGGGGACATCATGCCAACAGGAAGGAGCATGTCATTGCATTTTTGGGACTAGAAACACGCAGCAATGCCCATTAGCCACCGATTCATATGCATTTCGCAAGTATAGAGCTTAATCAATTGAAGAATACCCGAGTGTCTCCATTGAGGGGTGAAATGAGGCTCTAACTTTACAACTCAATCGACCTAGCATTGATCAGGATTAATCTATGAAAAAAGAGGATTAGTTCCCTTATTCCAGGATTTCCATAAAAGTTGGGATTGATTAAGTGTTAGGGTTTCACCTTCATGAACAGGGTAGTGGTTTGAGAATCCTTCGTAGACATACGATTTGAAGGAAGGACCAAGAGGAAGAGACCCATTAGAACTAGGGGAAGGAATCAAAATCCTCTGATCTACCAAATCATGTGCTATCTGCTTAATATTAGTAGGAAACCTTGGTGAGAAAATAATTTCAAATGAAGATGACGATGGAAGGCATTGCTTCTTCGGAGCCATCTTAATCACTAGAAAGGGTAATCGATGGAAGAAAAGGAAGATAGGAAGCAAGAAGCCCCCTTTATATGCATTCCTTATACTATAAACAGTTGAACAACCAAAACTCTCTAAATAGGTATTTTGAAAGAAAACAAGGTCGGGA